AAATGAACGTTGGAAATGTTGTTAATACCACAAAAAGACAATAAATAATGCTGTAAAGAATGGATTGCCCGAACACATCACATGACAACAACAAAATCCATGCACATCACACACGAAAAGCACAAAACAATGCCTCAAAACATTATTCAGAGATTTATCAGTTCAATGAGGAGACGTTGCACAGTTGTGTTGCTGCTAACGGTGGTCATACACGTTACTGACTTTCCAATTTGACTCATCTTTCTTTCATGGTCAGCTGAATTAAAACTTCACTGTTTTGCTGGATTGGTTCTGTTTCTTTCTTTACCAATCATTGGACTACAAAAGTATGTAAAATTTACACCGATTGCTCATTTATGCTTTTGTATGAAGCAGCAGCCTTGTCAACCGGCTTTCAGGTGGTAGCTTTGACAGATTTTGTGGAAATTGAACTGGCAAACCAAACAATAGTTATAACTGCTGTGACGCATATAGCCAGTAGAGAATATGATGTCATGCCTTTTTTTGCCGTCTTATTTACACTCTTTTCTTCTTCTTTATACCAATAATGTCGGAACTGACCCAGTTAATGGACTGCTTAGTGGCGTGTCTTCGTTGGACTTATCTTCGTCTTCGTGTATCGTGTTGTCCAGGCAAAATGTGAACAATGAGGTTACAAGATCATATATCAGGGAACATTGATTCTACTCAAACCAGAGAGATGTTGGGAGCCCACATCCAGGTCGTTCCTTCATGTTAGTCATCGAGCGCTCATTCCAAACGCTGCTTAATACCGCAAATCAGGCTTTTATTTGTTGTTTTAGCCATACGTACCGACAGTTGTAACACTGTACATGCCACTTGGAGGTCTTGCTGCCTGTGTATATTGTTCAATGACTTCCTTACAAGGTATCGCTAGAGGTTCAAGCTAGCCTTCAGGTTGGAACGTTGTTTTCATTTGTTTGTTTTAAATGGCAACGTCTACCGGAAGTGCTTACATTTTACTGGCCGTATTTTCGCTTTGGGCAGTGCGCCTACTCTTCTTTGTGGTGTTCATTTCACATTATCTCAGGAAGCCAGTGAAGAAAGTAATGAGGATGGCAAAAATAAATTAAACTTTGTATTGGAATTTATTACAAAAATGTAGTCTCTCATTGGGAGACGGTGATTTCGTAGACAAAACCAGTTCGTAGACGCGGTGAATTCGTAACCCAGACCGGTTCGTAGACGGTGATTTCGTAGACGTGTATAAATAATTGAATATATAGTATATATAAGTTTGATTTTTACTTAGATGTTACTTAGAATGTTTATAACTAAGTTGTTATGCTTTGTTTTCAGTGATACGAAACTAAGGGCAGCTGAGGACTCAAGGAAATTGTGAATGAATATTTTCCCGTATGCTTTGTTTTCAGTGATACGAAACTAAGGGCAGCTAAAGACTCAAGGAAATTGTGAATGAATATTTTTCCGTATGCTTTGTTTTCAGTGATACGAAACTAAGGGCAGCTAAAGACTCAAGGAAATTGTGAATGAATATTTTCCCGCATGCTTTGTTTTCAGTGATACGAAACTAAGGGCAGCTGAGGACTCAAGGAAATTGTGAATGAATATTTTCCCGTATGCTTTGTTTTCAGTGATACGAAACTAAGGGCAGCTGAGGACTCAAGGAAATTGTGAATGAATATTTTCCCGTATGCTTTGTTTTCAGTGATGATACGAAACTAAGGGCAGCTGAGGACACAAGAAAATGTGATTGAAGAGTGAACGAATATTTTCCCCTGCATCTTGTCTAGACTTGTTTTACATGTATTTGTATATATAGGGTTTGTGTTGTATTTTTATTTTCAGTGATACGAAAATATTATTTACTGTGTGTGTAATAAAGATGAAGCGTCGTAGAATGTAAAAGACAGACAACATTGTTATGGAAGAGTGATAATGTAATATATTTAACAACAATTTTCACAACAGCACGTGTCAAAGTAGTAACACAGTATCACAGTCACTCAGTGACCATTGGCCCATTTAGTTTTGACACCTCCCTCAGCAGCAGGTGATGTAGGGTTCGGCGACGATGGTGGAGAGAGAGGCAGGGTCGGGGACAGAGGAAGAGTCGGAGAAGGTGGAGACGGCGGGGTAGTGAACAAAATTAGTCTACTCATTATAATTGCCGACTGGTTTCATTGTTGTGGGAGGATTAACAGGTTTCACTGAGTTGTTGTGAATGTTAATTAGGAAGTGGTGAGTTGTTTTGATTGCGAAATACTCTGTGTGGGAGATGTGCGTTTTCTGCTACTTCTCTGCTGGTCTGCGTAGTTGAACGTTGAATGACGATACTTACCTAATACATATCTTTTAATTTTACACAACTGAATTTAATATATTAGCGGCCTGTGATTTGTCGGAATTTGTGACATGGACCACTGTGAAGCATATTTTGTTATTTTATTATTTAAGGATATTTTCACCGCCGATCATACTTTAATTGATATATTTTATTTATTTCACAAAATGCAAACACTTTTCGTCGATTTTCTTCATCATTGAGGATGAACTTTTCCCATTTTAATAACGTCTACGAATTCACCGCTCAATCCGTCTACGAATCCACCGGATTTCCACATGTCTACGAACCGGTTTTGGTTACGAATTCACCTACAGCCGTCTTCATTGACGGATTACTTTCGTAATGATGAAGAAGTAAAACAAGGCATACATAAAAACATTCTTCGATTTTGTGGAACCTTTTGGAGTTGTAACACAAACTAGTGATTTCATTTCAGCCTCAACGTTTCCTTAGCAACTAGGACTATAATTCATATGTCCACGTTTGTTCAGCGAATAAAAAGATCAATTCATCAACGATATTTAGAGATAAACCTATTGTAGAGAAAATCAGAGGTATATAACGAAATATAATTCTCTAAATTTCATTTAAAACCGGAACGCGTAGCGTGAGGTTTTAAATGAACAATTTAGAGCTATTATAATTTCGTTATATACCTCTGATTTCCAAATAATACATGTAGGTTTATCTCCATTCTACCATGACAATTTTATGAACAATTTCAGGTGGAGCTCTTTCTTCGGTTATGAGTCAATACGTGAAGCGGCCTCATTCCAATCTCAAGTGGTATCGCCCGAAACGGGGTGTTTGGTGGCAAACCGTCAATGACTAACAAACTCCAGATTCAGTAATAACAAATCACGTTTTGTTTTTTTCAATGCATCAATCACCAATCATTAACTGATAAGTTGGAAAACATATATCAAATAAGTTTGAAAAGCTTGGTCTACATTTGAAAATTCCACCGTAGACTCTTTTCCCCACCAGAATAGTGGCAGCAACCTCATGGCTCTTGACCTTTTCTCGAAGTCATTGTTTACATTTGGAAAGATGCGACAGGAGAGCCACTGACAGTTTGCGCAAGGTTAACCTGATTGTATGACTGGAGATAGTCTTTTGATATCTAATTACTGGTACTGGTACAAAAATTTAAGAGTAGGGCGCTTTTGCTGTAACGAGAAGTCCGTGTTGTACCGAATTTAGATACTGTTGAATTTTGCGCCCTGTCAACTTGACGATTTCACGCACCTCTACGTCTGCGTGCGACAGCTGCTGTTGTGACTCTTACACACTCATGTGTGTACTTTGTGCTCAAATTCGATTCTACGGATATTATTTTCTACATTTTGGAAAGTGTTTTGTGACCTAGTGGCTTCAAAGTGTGTAGTGAATTCAAATTGAATCGGATTCGCTGGCATGTTCGCGAGTCTGTTGGACAAAGAGCCAGATTTGTGGTGATATTTCCGAAAGGATGGATCAGGACACGAGGGTGTACCTCTGGCATAAACACGGTAAGGTAATTAATTATACTTTAATAGACTACTTTTAGATGCTAAGTGTAAATGGATAAGAGGGATCATGACTAAGCTTAAATAACTTTTTCAACGATATTATACATTTAGAAAAAAAAGTATGTTGGGCTAAACAGAACGGCTTTGCAGATTCTGTAGATCTAATTGTGTTTTTACTACCGCTAAATTTGAAACAGTACAAATTTCAAAAATATCATTTTGTTTGGAAAAGATAACCCAACTGTTTATTTTATGTGGACGGAAGGCATTAAAATTAAAATTCGGCGTTCGATGTTAATGCATCCTCCGTTACCGGATCAAGATCAGTGGCGATATCGTTGACGAAAGCTGATAATAAATTTAACACGGAAATTTTGTAGCAGTCTATTGCTGGATCTATTCTGACATAACATAAACAGGACACTCTTCTTACTTGTACAGGGAGATTTCACGTCCTTATGAATGGGGAAATTTGCTCCCAAAAGTCTTACATGTTGTGTGAGTCTAAGTCCATGTCAGAGGAACTGAGTTTACATGTTAGTAGAGGTGCGACCACTTTGTGAAAGTGGTCCTTGGTCTTTTATGTTGCATTCTGTATGAAACCCGAGCACTGTGTTTCTTGAATAGAAATCAAATCAAATCCAATCTTTAACTCCAAAATGATACTTCTGCAAGGGAAGGTCCCAAAAATGACTCCTTGGGTGGTCAGTTGAACTTTAAGTTCAGTCAGTGTGGAGGCAGTTCAGAATTATCTGATCCATGTGCGTTAAATTCTTGGTATTGCCAGCAAAGCCTTCGTACCAACATATGTTTTCTGTGTCTAAAATCAAACTTAACAAGACCAGTTTCAAATGTCAAAAAGTAAAGCCATGCTGAGCATCAATATGTAATTCTGTGTTGTGTGAGGATATGGACTATATGAGCTTCACACACTGTACCCATGTGGGGCATCGAACCCGGGTCATCAGCGTGACGAGTGAACGCTTTAACCACTAGACTACCCCCACCCCTCTTCTGATAAAGAAACTGGTTCTCAACTCGAACAGCTGATGCAGCATAAACCAATATTATTCATACGATGTCCCAATGAAGGTGAACTATTGCTGATCTTGAAGTAGCCAAACTTCACCCACACCTCAAATGAAAAACAGTACACTGGGAACATTCTATATTTATAACTTTATTTCTGGTCAACATTGTCTTGAACTAAGTAAAAGAAAATGCAACAATAACTCTGTACATGCCACAATATGTCTACAACAGCCATGTTGGTCTCCGTACAAGTTGTTGAGGAGACAAAAGCTGGCTTCTCTCACTGGCTTGCCAAACTGCCACAACCACCTCTCCGTGTAAGGGTATTCAACACTTCAATATTCAACAGGAAAATCTTAGACTTATCAGGAGTTTCAGCTAGAAATATTTAATGTGACCTCAAGAATATATTCTGATTTATCTACTTGGATGAACTTCATTGGAAATATTTGGAATTGATAGTTGATTAGATCATAATGAAACCAATACTTACTAAAGCATACTTAGCTTACTGCCTTGTTGTATGTCAGGTATTGTGTATCTTAATGCACAGTCTTCAAATTATTTTTTAGTAATTTTTTAATTTTACAGAATAAACTTTCATAAAGATTTTCCAGGGCATTATCAAGTGAAGGCAAGAGTCATAGGCAGGTAAGTCCAGTGAGAGAACATCCTCAAAATAATGCTATTCTAATAAATGTGAAGTACCTTGTTTCCATGGCAACTCACAATACAGAGTCCATGGCATACATATCAGACCTGGTACATTAAGTAGAAATATCACAAGAAAAACACTGCAGATGGTCTGTTGGAAGGGCCATGATGTCACACCTCGACAAATAGATGCATCGTAGGACATAAACGGGTGTCATTGGATCGGAAAATTTTGCCTTCCCCCTTAAAAAGTCTGGAGTTGGTTTTCTTGAACTCTCCTGGGTAATCATAAGTATGACAGCGTTCGTCATGACCATCACAACAACATCCGCACCATCGCTATACAGCGCCGATGATGTTTAATATTCTACATATGAGAAGCAAATGTTGTAACCTTGGCAAGATTCGAATGAAGCTAAATACTTTAATATGATTAGGATAAAACTGAAATCATACCTAATTTATAAAGAGCACTGTAAATCCTGCCTTCTTTGTTAACTCTTCATCTGGTTCAGACAATAGGTAAATCTCTTTAACACCCATTCTCAAAACAATCTGGCATCATCTGATATTCATCACTGATTATAGGATATCCTACTTCCTGTTGAAGAACTATCCAACTATTATTAAGAGTATTTTCCAAGTTCATTGATTCAGTGATTCAATATTGAATGTGATTATGACGAATTATAGGTAGAGATTTCCTGCTCGTCTGAAAGAGTTGATAACATGTAAGTAAGTGATGGAAGATGACTTAATCTGGCGATCTGATAGATACAAGTGATAAATATGATGCCTATTGCTAGTCTACAAGCTGAAGAAGTCTTCAGTATAGCAACACTTGACGCCAACTTACCAGTTCCATTATCGCTATGGTAACATAACGCTGTATCTTGGACAAGTCATACAAAGAAGGAAAAACATTCATATGTTCATGTGATTGCACCATCCGATATGAGTGACAGGATAATGAGGGCATACTCAGTAATACATAACAAAACAGGTTAAATGCATCTTAGTGTTATTGTACAGAAGCAAGATTTGTGAATAACATGACAACCAAAGGGAGATAACTGGAATTTGTGATGTGAATATATGTATAAGTGCTTAAGGGACCTTGTGTGTTGAGATCATTTTATTTTGAAAAATGTGTTTGAAATATGAACAACTTTTGTTTGATGCATTTAAGAAAATAATTGATAAAACAGATATAAGGATGACAATTGGTGAAACAATTTTTAATAAAATTGATCCAATTAAAACAATTTTGATTAATAAGAAATTAAACAATAAAACAGGAGGAAGATATGAGATAATGACTTAAAATGTACTTGGAATGACGTATAGATATATATTTACATACAATAAAAAGAAAAAACAAATGAAAGTACTTCTTTGTATAAAATAGCATAACAAGAAATAAACACTTTGATGACCTGAACATGTTATTGCCGACAATGCAGATTTCTCTCATAACACAAATATAATACTTAAGTCAATGTCATGGCAAATGTCATGGCAAACTGTCATGAAGCAATAACAAAACCGAGATCATAGGAATTCTCATCAATCACAGAGACTAGGTATAGATGAATTTAAGTGGAATGTTCACTTTTAGATTAAAGTTAGAATTCTCAACAAATATACTCGTAAGATTCCAATTATGGTTGTAATCTGTTTTCAAGCTGTTTGAGGAGTAAGTTGTCTGTGCCATGTTGATCCTTTAATTCTTATGATCCTTTAATTCTTATGACCCTGTGATAATCTGGTACCCTCTGTACCTCTTGGGTTACAACTGACAGTCAAGAGTTATCAAATTTCTTGTCATTTTGTTCATATCTAACTTGATTATTGTTGTTATGTGTAACTTGAAAAATCAAAATCATAGAAAACGAATGCATCTCAAAATATTGCCAGTTAATTCTTTTGATGAACGAGGTAGCTAAAAAATACTGTAAATGGTTTCCAAATCTAACTTGCATTTTTCAAAGATGCAAAATTCTTTGTCCTTATATCAAACCATGAAGACAAGTAGAATAAGTCGGTATTTAAATTAATCTGAATTGTGACCATAAAATGTAAAAAGATTTCAAAAAGATTGATACATTAGTTCCAGATAATGACAGTTAACTGATTCTCAAATAATCCTGACAGCTTGAGAGAAAAATATGAACTTATAAAAGTGACTTAAAAAACCTTGAACATAGCAGCCAGTGAAATGATTGCCAAACTCTCCACCATCGCAACCATGGAGATTGTGATCTATCTTTACATGGCGCCAACCATGAGAGGTATGTCGTAACGTAAACAATATATGCTGTCAATAAACGCTGGTGAAACAAAGGCAACATAAATGGTCTATCCTTCATCGTCTATCGTTACCATGCCGACCTGTCTCCATCCTGATTGGACAAAGCAAAACATGATATGCTGCCAATCTTGTTTCCATCACTAGCCAATCAGAACTGACTGTCTGTCAGTATCCAAGCAACTGTTGCTACTAGATACTATACACCGTACCAACAGAATGTTAATGCTACATCTTCCAAATGCCTTCTCTTGCATAATGGGACTAAGGCTGACTAAACCTGTAAAGTTAAATGAAAAATCATAAGTACAATTTGTTGTCATGGTAACAAGAAAATGAATAGCACTATAGTAGGGATGTCAATGTGTATAATGATATCGATAAACATGTTTATTGATATTGATACTGAAATGATCATTTACTGCTACGATAATGTTTACATTTGTTAGGATGGAAAATTGATACAAAGCTGAAAAATTCAAGTGGAAACATTTAATGGATAAAACTAGTTTATATATAGCATTACTTTTACTGACTGCTGGTCTTGATATATTTTTTTAGCAATAGATATACTAAATAACTAATTTTGTTATTTATTGATACATGAATACATCATGATACTTTGGGGTATATATATCGTTACTACATGTTCCAGTCAATGACATCCTTACACCATAACAATCATTGTGGAAGGAAATTGTGGGTCAAGTGATGAAGCTTTGTAATGCATGAGATGAACTGGTGTAATCATATAAACATAGAACCATTATGATAAATCCATACTTTACAATATAGAAACAATACTGCTATTAACATAACTGGTGATCCAAATTTGACAGAACCTTAATCGACCAATAATTGTTTTTTTCAGGACAATAGTATTCTCCACACAACAAATTTTCACTAACAGCTTGAAACACATTTTCGATAGATTCAACATTTCTGATATGAACTATTTAATAAATATTTGTGTATATACAAGAACAACAGATGTTCAAATTAAGGTGGAACTTCTGATACAACTAACATTATTTAACACTGCATGGACAAATAACAGATACACATTTAAGATTCAGATTTAAATTACAATTAATTTACAAAAATATATACATTCATGTTAGATCTCATATTTTTCAGTCAGTCTTGGGGATAGTAACATGCAATAGAAATTAATACAACATCAATGCTTCATGGGCTTATAAACACCTAATCCCTGTCACCCATCAATATATTAGCTATAGAGTGTTCTGATTGGGTGTCTATTCAGCCAATGAAATGAGACGTTGCACAGCTCATGGAGCATAAATCAGCCATACTCCTTGCAGGGACATTTTGCATCCCCTTCCATTACCTGACATTGAAGCAATGTGTGGAGCTGATGGATTCAAAGCAAGAGAAACTATATTATGGATAGTTTTAAGAAAGCATGGAAATCAATGAATGTTTCTCAAATGGTTGTAATGCATGAAAGGACATCCACTGTAGCAGATGTCAATTTCAATACACCAGTTTGAATTTTGGTTGGAATCGGGAACCTATTTTTCAGTTACCACATTTTCAACATGGGTGTTGCCAATTTACTGTTTACAATTAATGTAAAGGTTTAATTTGATTGCTTGAGTCAGGCAATGATTTGATTTCTTGTTAAATTCTGTACTGTATCATATCTCATATAGTTCATTTATACTAAACAATTTCTTTACGAAACGTGAATATGTTGGATGATATTTTGATGAAATTGTGTGCTATGTCTTCACTACAAAAACATATCTCCCCGAAATAGTCATGCCCACTTATATATTTTGTTCAGTATATATTCGTGGTTGATGGAGGAACATTGTGTTGTAAGGCCATGAAGTATTGTTAATGAAATAAATAATGCTTGTCTATATACTACACATACATAAGTAATGCTTGTTGGAGCTACCTAGACTTTGGCACAGTCACTAATCTATATACTGAACACTGAGCAATGAACATATTCAGTAAGACACATGTCAGTATGTGTTACTGAATGCATGGAGAAATGCAACATTGAATTCAAACTTAATACCTATCGGCAAATAATTTTTGAACGATTTATATGAATGAATAACTAACTATATCAATGTTTTTAATGTTTCAAATTTGCAGTTTATTGACAATAAAACTTTGTAATATCTGTAATAATTTAATTGTTATACCCTTTAAGCATTAACATGTTAATTGATACAGTTAACATGTAGCTATATGTCATAGGGAAAGAAGACAATCAAAGCTCACCACAACACTAGTTATTCTCTACATCTCTACGTCTATTTACATAATTCCTGCATAAATATTTTTGCATTTGGAAACAATTCATAAAGTAACGCCTACGTCTAAACCCTGCCATAAAACTAACAAATCCACAACAAAACACCTAAAACATATTTGGCTGTGATACCGTTTGATTGGACATTTACCTAAATGCTGTCAAATTGAGGTGTTGTCATGACAACCTAACAGACATTGGAAGCATATTTTATATGGAGGTCAATTGTTAAGTCACTGAACAGGGCACTGTTCAACAATCTTAAGGTGATCGTTACTCCTGTAATTTAACATGGGCTTACGACTGCGTAGCACAAAGATGATCGTAAATCTCACAGTTTATTGTAGGGCTTATGACTTTAGTAGCACCAAGGTGATCGTAACTCATTAAGTTGAATATAGGTTTATTTTGTATCATTGTGGCACCAAGATCGCTTAGTGAAACGTGACCCTGATTTCAGTATTCTCAATGTTAGAAAGATATGTAGTAAAAGTTGGGATTAAACAATTTTCTGTTTAAACAAATATTAGTGTACATCTTTTATCATATCCATGATGGGGAATCTTTGAAGGACACTGAGGAATGAGGATGATTCTGGACTTCTACTCAGACGTAAATATTTTAATTACAAAGTATCCCTGTTTGAGAACACCTGCAATCATCTTGGAACAAAGTCAAGGCTTGGAATCTGACTGAAAACCAGAATGTGAACTTCAGACAATGAGAAAATGCTATTTAATGTATGATTAACGATTTGCTATGATGAGCAGCATGCTTACAAGGTGCATAGCCCTTCATGGGAACATATCAGCAAATGAAATGAAAGCTACTTGTAAGGCCAAACTAAAATATTTCTTCCTCTGGAACTTTCAGCTGATTTTAAGAACACAAACTTAATGCTGAAATATTTCTTCTAGGATAATATCAAATGTTTTTCTCTTTAACACTTTTATTCCACGCTGGAAGAATATTATCTTTCCTTAGGGCATAGTGCTATTATAAGAGAGTTATGTATATGTTAAGTTTGAATATATTCTTTATATTTCATGGGATGTTTTGCTTGTTAGTAAAAAAACATTGGAGTCATTATTACTGTCGGATCCAGAGGGAAGGGGAGGGAGGGCCACAGGAGCCATTACAATGTCGGATCCAGAGGGAAGGGCAGGGGGACCACAGGAGCCATTACAATTTCGGATCCAGAGGGAAGGGGAGGGAGGACCACAGGAGCCATTACAATGTCGGATCCAGAGGGAAGGGCAGGGGGGCCAGAGGAGCCATTACAATTTCGGATCCAGAGGGAAGGGGAGGGAGGACCACAGGAGCCATTACAATATCGGATCCAGAAGGAAGGGCAGGGGGGGCCAGAGGAGCCATTACAATGTTGGATCCAGAGGGAAGGGGGGGGGGGGGAGAAGAGAGGAGCCATTACAATTTCAGATCCAGAGGGAAAGGGAGGGAGGACCACAAGAGCCATTACATTGTCGGATCCAGAGGGAAGGGCAGGGAGGACCACAAGAGCCATTACAATATCGGATCCAGAGGTAAGGGCAGGGGGCCACATTAGCCATTACAATGCCGTGTCCAGAGGGAAGGGAGGACCACAGGAGCCATTACAATGTTGGATCCTGAAGGGGAGGGCAGAGAGGAGAATAGTACAAAGGGTGTGTTTGATCCTGCTGGATCCAACTCTGAACATCAGCAGCATCAGTAGATCTCTCAATCACAGCCGGCACACCAGCTCTACACGTACCTCTTCATTCTGTTTGATTAGTTCCATCTACAGTGTTCTATATCAGTTGATCATTATTGGGATTTCCCATTCTCCAGGCATACTTGACACACTATGGAATATACAGTTAGAGGACTCCTGAGCTTAGATTCTATCACCGAATTATTGTCATACGTAATCTGGATGTTTATCAAGTTCTGTGCCATGAAACTCTGTGCAGTGTGACAGCTGATGCACAACATGAGACAACTCAGTCAACAACAAAAAAGAAATCTTCTGTGTATGCAGATAAAATGACATCAGTAGGGCAGTAGTGTAAGCTTTTTGGTTCCTGAAAGAATGGTGAATGTTTTACAACCACATAACAGAATAAATACACTTCTACCAGGATAGATCATCAGTCTGACATAATGAGGGCTTTCTTTAAGATTGTTTGTTGTTTAAACCCATATAACAGTCAACATGACAGCAACCAGTAAATAATTGAGCCAGGAGCCTGCGCAAGGTCTGATATTATGACCAATGTGGACATGCGAAAAGGTTACCATGGTAACAGATCAGTTAAGTCTCCATTTACATAAAGCATAGATTGCTGGGGACCAATTGTAACCTGGAATCGCAAGGGTACGTCTTCAAGAATATGTGCTTACATGAGATATATTAGAGAGTTATTAAAAATTCTTTGCTTTGTATATCCAAACATCCTTCATTATCAAATATCAAATGCTGTGAGGTTATCTGTCAGTATAACTGTAGATGATAATGATAATGGTGAGTAAATCCAATTATCTTCGAGGCACCATTTAAACATCCTCTTGTGAACACTATTTATGGTCTAACAAATGTTGTCAATAGGAATAATAATTTTGTAGAATAATGATATTACATTGATAAATAAGTATTCTTAATTCTTTACTGGCATCAAACTATTCCTGTAAACGACAGGAATGGAAAGATTTTATGCAAAACTTTTAGGATTCAAAAAGAGTTATTTCCCTTGGATCACAGATCAAGAGCTGGAGATTCCTGACAGTTCCAGAATGCCGTTATGATATATGTATACACTTATTACAGCAAAAAATCCAAAAAGTTAACATACTGCTTCCCTGAAAACATGTTCTTTTAATTGTCATTATCATACATTTTGTTGTTTTGTTTTGTTCAATGCCACACTCAGCAATATTCCAGCTATACGAAGGTGGCATTATTATAAAAACAGCATTATTCCAACAAAACACAAGCCCTGCGACATATACAATCCACTCTTGAGGTGCTAACTTGGTTCAGAAACAACACTAAAGGGTGCTAAAACAACAGCGAACAGCTAAAGCTAGCCTACGACATGCATACATGCAGAGCTGACCAGTCTGTGACCAGACTGGCCAGTGTATGGACTGACAGATGGACACACTAGGATGGCAGTATGACAGATGACAGACGGATATGTGTATGCGTGGTTCCACAACAGATCACTTACATTGCACGGATCACTGCACTACACACTTCTGAGTTACCTCCCCTACTCCCGCGGCCAATTTTGTTGGCAGTTCACTCACTTTAGATTGGAGCTCGGTTAAGTTTTTGGGGAAGCCTGGAAAACAGGAAAGGAGACAATGGACACAGTGGCAGCAACATCACGACATCAACCACGACGTCACACACCACCACGACGTCATACACATTAACCTAGAATCCTTGCGTGCCGGGTAGGGTTTGCACAGGAAGCTCATGGTTTCAACATACAGTCTGTCTTGCTTAATGCATAAGCACTGTCTTCTTCAGTATTTCAGAATAAACATAGCAGATTTCAAACTAAACTTTTTGCAGTTACTTTAATTAAGCTCCAGAATGCCTACAGAACGCCTCCAACTATGGAACCTGAGCTATTTCAGGTCATGTAAAAATGTTAATATCAACATTGGATTCCTTCTTGAGAAAATGATTTTCAATGAAATATGACTTAAGTACCAAGGTTTCATTTGGTGTGGGTGTTCTTCAGAGGTTCTTACATCTGTAAATATGTTTACATGAAATTATGAGGTATGTCAGACTTTTCAATGACTGACTGACTGAGTTTGGTTTTACGCCGCTTTTAGCAATATTCCAGCAACATCACGGCGGGGGACACCAGACTTTCAATGAAGTAACTATACATTTGTGTTTAAACAGAATTTTGATCTTTTACATATTTTGAGATGAACTCACTTTCAAAGAATACTCTTTTCCCATTGATTACAAGTTACTAGAAGTAATGTTCAGCAATCTAAAGGGAAATAACTGTTAATGTGAAGTTTTTGTTTCCCTACCCAACTCTATGGGAGCCCGTAGATGTTTATGTCACTGTCAATATCAAAATGACAAATTTAAATAATTGTATATGAGAAGAGTTTCCTTTTCGTGAATGTATTTATCACTAATCCCTTGCAAACAGATACACCAAAATTTTCTTAGGATTAATAAGGAATATTGTTCTGGAAACAAGAAAGTTAGTTTTGAAATCTGCGTTTTGTGTATGTTATGGAGAAAGATGACTGGAAAAATTGACAAAATAGCAAACAGCAAATGAGACAACAAATGGGCAAAACAACAACGGAAGCAGAAAAATCAGATTAAATAACACACACATGGCATAATGTATGGTTTTTTTACTGGAAAACAGTTCTGTAAAACAGTAAAATACACTTGAAACCAATATTAAATGAAATATGTCAACCATTATCTAAAATCACTGGGTTCTAGGCCACTGAAACAGAATCGTATCCCATGAACAAATTAGAATGAGAAAATAATCATTTTCAAAAACATTTTCAGTTTGAAAAAAACATTCTACCATCAATACAAATGCGTGTTTTATTTAAATATAAAAAAGATTGGGTGCTTCTGAATGATGAGAAGAAAAAAACATGCATGCAAACTTCTTTAAGTAGCATCTAGAATTGGTATAAGGAGCCAGAGAGACAGTTCTATGAATATACATCTTGTTTACTACAATAAATGTGACATTTTGCTGCAGATACTAGCACCGTTATCAAAGTGATGATGATGTAAGAATCTACACTGAAACCGCACATTCATTGTAAAAAAGGAGTCATATGTCTATAGAGTTATCTCCCTTGGAGATACATGCTGATTAAATAGGCCATTGAACACTGATATAAATCTCTCAGTACGCTGCCATCTGTGACACACTGACTGTGATTCCAGAAACAGAATCTACTGAATGGATGGATTCTACGCTAAGATTTCTTTAAACTTTAAGGACCCTACATTATATTTATGAAAACACATAATGACAAAATTCCAAATCCATTATTTTTCACAAATCTGTAAGTTCATATATTTTGACCTATTGGTCAACTTTTACACTGTCCAGCGTAACAATGTGTCAGTTTCAATATACCCCATTTGCATATGTTTAAGTTTCAAAGTGTTATTTAACCCAAAACATCATTTCCACAGACATGATATAACAATTTAAGTTCAATCTACAAGATGGCTGTAAGAAGACTTTGACTTTTAAGAATAACAGGCATATCTCTCCGATTGTGGCCCCACACTGACAGACCTATATCAGATAATGTTCAGAACACAGACTGGCTGCAGTAGTGTGATAAAACAATCACTGTGAAACTAAATAATAGTTTTGAACCTTCAGAAAACATAGTCTTTCAAACTATACTATAGAGAAATCACAATATACAAGGGAAGTACCAAACGCTTTTAAGTAAGAATGGTTAAAAAGGAATATTAAACTATCCGAAAAATGAGAATTGAAAAGCCAACATATTACAGTAGATTTTATTGTCTACAGCTATGACATGGCTTATTGACTTCAAAGCGAGGGAAACAATCTGTGATTGTTGAATTTGCCCCACTAGTGTTGCCAGTCGGTGTGACCCAGTGCTCAGCATGCATAAGGTGAACAAATAAGGTTAGAACAGATTTAGCAGCCGTCACAAGATGGCCAAAGTCAAACAATAGCAAGACAAAAGGTGCTGAAAAAACATTCATTTGTCTTCATTGCAATTCTCTTATTTGTTTTTTACCACCTGCCATCTTATTATCAGTCTTACTGACACTGGTTTGATTTCCTTATTTGCCAAGGAGACAACTTGTTTTTATTTAATGCCCTGTTTTATTAACATCTATAATATCAACTCTTTAATGGTCAACAAGATTTGATTGGTGCTCAAACAGAATAAACACAGAGTATAAAAGAAAGCATTATTATGTGTTAAATGTACTGTAACTATGTATGCATGATAATAATGATCATAACATAATAAACACAATAACAAAGTATTTTGTATGAAATAATACAAAACATTTTGCAATGAAAAATCCTGAAACAAGTCCTTAACAATGAAGAACAGGGATCTCAAAACGTTTTGGCAGTATTCAAAAAAAGACTACAGATTTCAATGGTGTATGTTTTAATTGCACATAGATTAACTGAATGACTTACGAATAATGATTTGTGTCATTTTGACAGCCCTGGGTGAAATCAACTTGTGTGTGTAATGTCTACAAATACACAAACTAAACATGAATACTATCAATGAAAAGGCAGGATCATGTAGACTTCCCAGGGAGTTGAGAATGAAAGTCCATTGACAGGGGGGATAATGTTAGCACTTTGAGCATGCATTGAAAGTACTGAGTCTTGCACAACACAAGTACATTATTTTCTAAGATGCCTAGCGGTTAGAACAATCAAAAAAAAACCATTATCAGACAATAAAGGTATAGTTTTTTGATGATGTAACAATTGAATGACGTTATCCCGTCACTGCGCCATTCTAGTCTGCCCCCTCGTAATCGACCCATTCTACATTACGTCACAATGTCAGCGACGTCACGATGCATGTCAGTTGTCATCGCCTCGTACGGCCTCCTACAGTAAACTACACCGTTGCATCCAGTTTCTTGGTTTGCTGTTGCTTCACGCAGCTAACATCACTGGTGGAAACATTACGTTTATGTTTTACGACGGTTAAAATGTGTCATTTCAACTCACAAGTTTTCAGCGACACGGTAACGTTCAGTAATGTTTACATTCCCACAATGCAATCGTGGAATGTCGCTGACTACTCAACTTCCTCTGGATGTACTGATCTAAACTTACGCTGGTAGTAGAAATGCAACGTTCATATTGCCCCATATGGTTTACGTTAATGACAGATGTAATTAAAATAATTCAGAGAAGATATTTAATCCCAACGTAAACCGTCATCAAACTGTTATCATTTGTTTTTTTTTTCTGGTAACGTTCGATGTAACGTAGGGGCAGACACATCAATAGAACAGCCCAGTTAGCCCTGTGCGAGGATTCTTAATTTAGGTCACCGACACCGTCGTTTGTTTTCTGCCTTAAATTAATCGTAATTATCTTTAGAAAGTATTAAATTTGGCATCTTAGAAAGAAATACAATTAAGCCCTACCACCATGTATAGTGTAATAAAACACACTTTCGCCCAGAACTATTATAAAGCACTTTCGGTGCACTCGGACGCAAACTATAATAGTTCAGGGCAAAAGTGTTTTTATTTACACTATACATGGTGGTAGAACGAAGTGTATTTCTTAAATAATATAATATTCTATACATTGTACAAGTAAAACAAAATCATAGGAAACAAGGTGTTTATAAAAAAAAGTGTTCATAAGTATCATTTAGCAAAAGTTGAGAAAATTCCTGACTGCAAATTATATAAACAAATGTTAAACATGTCCCTTTCTGATGTTTTATTTTCAGATTTTCTGTGTGCGTCTCAACCATTAAAGTTTCAGATGTATGAATCCTTGTTAATCATCCCATTAGACATTATCTCGGAATATACTCATGCAAGATAATAAAGGAACATATGTATAACAAGGCCCATGTGTTCAGGAGAGCTGGTCAAAGGTTCCTTGGCAATGTAATGAATAACAAAGGTACTTTTCAGTTATTGTACTGACCATCTAATGACGAAACTTCTCTCACCAGAGCAATCAGTTTGTTTTTATCAATATGTGTTCCCTTATTTTTTTACCATAAGTAGATCAGTAATTTAACTCATATCTACAATTTATCACACCTTTGTTTCCTTATGTTGTGTTCTTCTCCTGAAGGAATCGGTTCGGGCTGATACCAGAGACTGGTAATTCTCTGACAATCATGTTTTTATTTCCGATTTGATTAAAAATATCCACAGTGACAAAATGGAAGCCTTAATGTTGTAAAATTATATATATCAGAAAAACACAAGATAAGGACCTGAAGTTACACCTGTAAATGTCTACTCAGAATGATAATGGTGATGATGATAACAGGTATTTATGAACAATAATTATTGTGTATGTTCATGATAATTTTCTTAATTGTGATTTGTCCTTTATGTTATTTTGTGTTTATATGAAAACTTTTGTTGCTTATGAAACAAAACTTAACACAAAACATATTAAACTCATTGATTTTGAAAATGCTACACAACCAAACCATGACTGGTGTAATTTCTCTGTTATTATGCATATTCACTTGCTATGCTAACACAACCATCTTCTAAAACAAATATGTTATGTTCATAAATAAACAACAACAACAAATACATCTGTGTAAACGTTAATCAAACAAATTGAAACTTAACACTTTTAACAAGTTGCCTTGATGCCCAAACTTCTGGTCTAGTCACTGAGCTTTTATGGCATACCCAGAACCATTGAGTTGAATACACATACAATGTATGAAGGGATTACATATTTAACATGTATCTGCTTATCAATGACTTAGGAAACAGTTTTACGTCTTCCAATACTCAAAAATGAACAGAATACTGATACAAGTATAATATTATTACAAATCAAAACATAGGCTTACTCCTTTAACAACCGATTCATTTTGTGCTGATTCAATAATTGAACTGATAGAAGGCCTTAAAGATACCCTGCAAAGGTTATAAATAAAACAGAACAATTGGTGTCTTTAACAGCTCATTTCCACAAAGAAATATTATTGTATGCTTTGAATCTATGACCATGGTACTATCATATTATGAGTTTTTTGTTTTGATATATCTTAATAACATTTGATCAAGGCATCAATGTTTAATTTTATTCAGTATATGAATAACTGGATACCCAAAGTATCTAACATTCCAATAATTGAACACAGGTTTCCGATATATCAATTCTCAGATTTCAGACATATGAATGCTCAGATTTCCGAAATATCAATGCTCAGATTTCTTATATTCCAATTTCTTAAACTTTCAATCACCGACAGCCCTATATTAAGGTTTCTCTACAACATACACTCAGCTTGACAGATATTGCTGGATGTTCCTAAATCAACCTGTTATATGAACAGCTGACAGAGGAACACATCTATCACAAAACTTCCCCACTTTGAATTCTGACAAAATTTCAAGAAGGGTTTAAGTAAAGTCTAACTCGCTGGAATATATTCACGATCTCATACAGTTGCAGTGAAGATATACAAGACACATCAATTTCTAGTCCTAAAGCTATTCTAAGAGTGAGTGAGTGGGTTGTGTCTAAGACTGCTTTCAACAGAATATCAGTTACTCCACGGGTGAATATTGAGCACTCAAAGTGATACAGGTAGCGAAACTCATGTCCTTGAAGTAACCTACCACCACGGATGAGGTACTGATGCTTAAAGAATCCTAAGTGGGAAGAATCTGTCATCAGCGGATCCTGGGAACTAAGGGACATAACTCTGCAAGGAGAGTTAGGGTTCCTTAGAATACTGGACACCCTTCCCAGTTTGAGTTGAAGTCTGACACAAATTCACTACCTTATGAGGGGATGGTTTAATGGTATCACAAGTCAATTAAGAACACAATGATAAATGAATTGACTAAACTCTGTATTCAGACATAACTTGAGACTATACCCATCAACATAAGACCTACATCCTGAGATGCAGACAAACAGGTCATACAACTCCCAGTATTCAATTATGACCTTCACATTGGTAAAACATCTAAACATGTGACCTCGACATACACATAATCCAGTGTCGCCATGGTAACCTGGTTTCAGACAAAATTCATGCAGCAGCAGAGTGATGAGAATTTACTTGATAACTCGTCGTCATCTGAATCTGCATTGTTTTCGGCCTCAAGCTCTGCTGGCGTCTTCTTCTTGCGACCTATACGACCTTCAGCTAGTGGCTGTGCGACTTCTTCTTCCGGAGTTTTCTCTTTCTTTTTCAAGCCATACTGAAATTAAGATGAAGTGAGTTTGTGAGGATGTACACCATTTCTCAGACCCCCAATATACATAGCATGTCGTTTGCTTGTCACTTGATGCCATACCCTGAACACACTCTCAGTTACAATACTGTGAGTTGGAAGGCTGTCTCTAGATAGACCTATTGTCACATCCTGATAATTCATAAATAATCGTCCAAATCGTCCCATCCTGATAATTCATAAATAATCGGCCAAATCGTCCCATGCTTATAACAAAACCATTAAGATCTTCACACCTCACCATTCGTGTATGTACTGAACTGTAAACTGTCTCTTCAGAACAAAACCATTAAGATCTTCACACCTCACAATTCTTGAATGGCCTAAACTGTAAACTGTCTCCTCAGAACAAAACAATGAAGATCTTCACACCTCACAATTCTTGAATGGCCTAAACTGTAAACTGTCTCTTCAGAACAAAACCATGAAGATCTTCACACCTCACAATTCTTGAATGGACTAAACTGTAAACTGTCTCTTCAGAACAAAACCATTAAGATCTTCACACCTCACAATTCTTGAATGGACTAAACTGTAAACTGTCTCTTCAGAACAAAACCATGAAGATCTTCACACCTCACAATTCTTGTATGTACTAAACTGTAAACTGTCTCCTCAGAACAAAATCATGAAGATCTTCACACCTCACCATTCGTGTATGTACTGAACTGTAAACTGTCTCCTTAGAACAAAACCATGAAGATCTTCACACCTCACAATTTTTGAATGGCCTAAACTGTAAACTGTCTCCTCAGAACAAAACATGAAGATCTTCACACCTCACAATTTTTGAATGGCCTAAACTGTAAACTGTCTCCTCAGAACAAAACCATGAAGATCTTCACACCTCACAATTCTTGGATGGCCTAAACTGTAAACTGTCTCCTCAGAACAAAACCATTAAGATCTTCACAACTCACCAACATCAGTAAGCACCAAAATGTCTCCCTACAACCAAACTGAAGCATCAAGACACAATTAACAAACCTTGTCTCGTATGGACTGCCGAAGTTCTTCTCTCTCTTCCTCCATTTTTCTATGCTTGTCTTTCCTCTTTTCTTCAGCCTCTCTCCGGGCTTCTGCAATCTCGGGATCCTCATCTTCATCCCCTTCCTCGTTCTTCTTCTCCTCATCCTTGTCACCCATTGCACCTGGAAACATGACCATCAACAATCACAAATAGTTAGGCTGGCAAGCAACACAATCTTCTCCCGGGGTAATCTGTCTCTTGTGTTGTGCCCTTGATAATAAAACTATTTGCCATAATGGTGTTGTAATTACACTGACAATAGGTGGTGTTCACTAAAACAATACCTGTCAGAGATCAAGTGTTAAAGAATAAACTTAGTTCAAACATCCATGAAACTATAACATTTTCAAAATTATTTTCTAGGCAATAACCTCTCCCTCTTACGTTGGTCTGTTTCTCTGTTAAAACTGTGTAACATACACAAGAAAATACAGACTGACATCTAAATCCTGAGGCATAGTGAGTGAGTGAGTTTAGTTTTATACCCCACTCAGCAACATTTCAACTATATGGCGGTGGTCTGTAAATAATCGAGTTTGGACCAGATAATCCATCGATCAACAGCATGAGCATCGATCTACGCAATTAGCATATGCTGACATGTGTCAACCATGTCAGCGAGCCTGACCATCCGATCCCCTTAGTCGCCTTTTACGACAAGCATGTGTTGCTGAACACCAATTTTAACCCGGATCTTCGTGGGTCCCTGAGGCATCCTAGAGATTACTTTAGACACAAGTAACCTGAGCATACTAGTCTTGTAGACAGGGATACTTTCCGGCATGCTGAATCACACTTATTGACCAAAATGAAATTGAAAACAGAAAAAGCTTAAAGCTGACAATAAATAATTACAGGCTAATTTGTCACCCAAATAAAAAAAATCAAATGCTTGCATCAAACTAATTTTTTCAGAGCTTGTAGCTTGGCTCATTTTTAATGATCTGGTCATTGTGCTTTCTTCCTGCCCTGGATTTTTGAATTGCATTATTCAGCTTTTCTATATCCTCACTTGTTTGATTACCATGTCCACAACTTATGCCGAGAATTAGTAACAGCATCAAAGAGCCTTTGGTTGTCTACTCAGGGATTAATCCCTGACAGGCGTTCACTGTGTGGAATAGGACTGAGGGCACCAGGTGGTATACAGTACCAAACAGGATGTTAGTTAAAAGCTTGTTAACATTAATTGTTGTTTTAATTATTCACAGACATTTACTGTTATGTTAATATACAATGTTCAGATCAAAGAGTGTATCACACGCATCAACAGCATATGCAATGTTCTTTTTCCTGATTAACAGCGATAGCCATACTATTAGAATTGTGCTTGATTTACCCGTCCTAATCCTGGCCTATCTGGATAGCTACTAAGTATCATTGAATTGATTGTATAGTGGACAGATGCTGTCTACTTATCAGCTGATTATACATTTGTCATGCACTGCTGAATTTGTAGCTTTAGGCAACACCCAAAATAGTTTTGCTTATGAGTGAGTGAGTGAGTGAGTTTAGTGTTACACCGCTTTTACTAGTTTTAGCAATATTCAAGCAACATCACGGCGGGGGACACCAGAAATGGGCTTCACACATTGTACCCATGTGGGGAATCGAACCCAGGTCTCTAGGATGATGAGTAAACACATTAACTGCTAGGCTATCTTACTGCCCCTTTTGTTTATGAAGTCACCACAATAACACCCTATAGCTGCCTGAAACATCATCACAATAACTGTTTGATAAACCTCAGCATTAACCACTCCAAGACCTATAGAGTTTCTGCTGTTATGGCTATAAGTCGTTAAGAAAGAAGCAGATGACGGAAAGCCAAACTATCTCACACTGTGTATCTGATCAAGGGTGGATAACAACAGCTGATAAGATGATATTGAGAGGTTTAGTTCAGATGGGATCCTTCACGGTTCCGGAGCAGCTTTACAACTGACACTTATACCTTCCTGCAATTCAGTATCTGTCACTGAATGTAACGAAAGGCTTCACACACAGACTTCTTGCACTGGAATTAAGCTGAGAATAAATGGTATCACCTCATGGATTATATTAGAAGTTTATTGCAAACCTATTTCTTTGCATTATGATTGAAGAAGTTTTTCGTACAAATATGAATTGACTATGATGAAAACATAACATGCACAATTGAGCTAGCCAGAAGAGGCGAAGGATTTACAAAAGATCCTAAGGTAGGAGTGGGCACCAGGTGCCTCTGCTGGTGGTAAGAGAGAGCTTGATGGAGGGCTGACTATGTGACTTGGTTAATTGTATGTCATTATTATTACACCTGTATAGTGACTCACATATATTTGTGTTTGTGGCTGCTTGTGACATTCAGAGCATGGCATAGGAGTCTGGGGACTGAACCACAGACATCCATCCTATGAGCAGACATTCAGGGCATAGGAGTCTGGGGACAAATCAACGTTTGCCTTTATCTTCTGATGTGATCACATGATACCATCCCTTGTACAAGCAGTTCAGATGAAAGGGATCTGTTCTTACTCACGATGTCAACAGAGTTTGCAGTTTTGCATCTCTCAGAAAATGTGAAGTTTCTTATAAAACAAGATAAATTTCCTGTCCGATTTCAATCAGCAACAACCAGCTTACTGTGCATGCTGTCATGTTTACCAGTTAGCGCAAGTGATCTGAACATCACCAGATGCCTCACACACTTCACAGTTGATTAAAACAATCCACGATCAATAGGTCTGATCTACTCAGTTAGACATGCTACAAACTCCCTGAATGATGAAGAATGTATGAATTAATCTTCCTTTCTTCCAAGCCTGGCAATCCTGGACATGCTCAACATGACCTGACCCGATATGACATGACCTGACCTTGGTAAACTGAAGCAGCAACAAAGTTCAGGTCATGGTTTTCAGGTGCTTGTGTGGTTTATTGTTGTTAAAGCACCACACTATGAGACAGCAGTTTACAAATAATTGAGTCCACACAATCCAGTGATTGACATCATGAACAACGATCTACACAACTGGGACATAAAGTCTCCCCACTGTTTCTTTTGCACGTTGACCCACAGCTCATGTATAGGTCATGCCCTACAGTATAGGTCTTATTGTGTGATATACAACACTGATACTGGAGTCTCCAACTGGCCCACTGATCCACAGCTCATGTATAGGTCATGCCCTACAGTATAGGTCTTATTGTGTGATATACAACACTGATACTGGAGTCTCCCCATTGGTTGGTTGACCCACAGCTCATGTATAGGTCATGCCCTACAGTATAGGTCTTATTGTGTTATATACAATACTGATACTGAAGTCTCCCCATTGGTTGGTTGACCCACAGCTCATGTATAGGTCATGCCCTACAGTATAGGTCTTATTGTGTTATATACAATACTGATACTGAAGTCTCCCCCATTGGTTAGTTGACCCACAGCTCATGTATAGGTCATGCCCTACAGTATAGGTCTTATTGTGTGATATACAATACTGATACTGAAGTCTCCCCCATTGGTTAGTTGACCCACAGCTCATGTATAGGTCATGCCCTACAGTATATGTCATATTGTGTGATATACAACACTGATACTGGAGTCTCCCCATTGGTTGGTTGACCCACAGCTCATGTATAGGTCATGCCCTACAGTATATGTCATATTGTGTGATATACAACACTGATACTGGAGTCTCCCCCATTGGTTGGTTGACCCACAGCTCATGTATAGGTCATGCCCTACAGTATATGTCATATTGTGTGATATACAACACTGATACTGAAGTCTCCCCATTGGTTGGTTGACCCACAGCTCATGTATAGGTCATGCCCTACAGTATATGTCATATTGTGTGATATACAACACTGATACTGAAGTCTCCCCATTGGTTGGATTGACCCACAGCTCATGTATAGGTCATGCCCTACAGTATATGTCATATTGTGTGATATACAACACTGATACTGAAGTCACCCCATTGGTTGGTTGACCCACAGCTCATGTATAGGTCATGCCCTACAGTATATGTCATATTGTGTGATATACAACACTGATACTGAAGTCACCCCATTGGTTGGTTGACCCACAGCTCATGTATAGGTCATGCCCTACAGTATATGTCATATTGTGTGATATACAACTGAACTTGATACATGCCCTACAGTCATCAACACTGATACTGGAGTTTGGTTGGTTGACCCACAGCTCATGTATAGGTCATGCCCTACAGTATATGTCATATTGTGTGATATACAACACTGATACTGAAGTCTCCCCATTGGTTGGTTGACCCACAGCTCATGTATAGGTCATGCCCTACAGTATATGTCATATTGTGTGATATACAACACTGATACTGGAGTCACCCCATTGGTTGGTTGACCCACAGCTCATGTATAGGTCATGCCCTACAGTATATGTCATATTGTGTGATATACAACACTGATACTGAACCCCATTGTTGGTTGATGCCCACAGCTCATGTATATAGTGATACCTACCCCATTGTATTGTCATATTGTTATATACAACACTGATACTGAAGTCTCCCCATTGGTTGGTTGACCCACAGCTCATGTATAGGTCATGCCCTACAGTATATGTCATATTGTGTGATATTATTATACACTGATACTGAAGTCTCCCCATTGGTTGGTTGACCCACAGCTCATGTATAGGTCATGCCCTACAGTATATGTCATATTGTGTGATATACAACACTGATACTGAAGTCTCCCCATTGGTTGGTTGACCCACAGCTCATGTATAGGTCATGCCCTACAGTATATGTTTTATTGTGTGATATACAACACTGATACTGAAGTCACCCCCAGACTCTTCATGCCTGTAATAGTTTCAGGGACTCAGACACAGGTCTCTTGTGAGGTGTTTTTTCCAAAGTTCACTGGTGAAATGTCTACACAGAACAATCCTTGCTAATATTGGCTTGCTGGCTTTTTACATTTAACTTTTGGAGTTAGGTTTTTTGAGTCGATAATGGCAGACATGGATTTTCTATTAATAGATGAAAGTACACCTGATGTGATTGGTAAAAACAGATTAACAAGGAAGTCTAGTTAAGGTGTCTGGAACATGATGTTAACACAGTCTCTGGTATACATGGCATGACTTTA